ATGTAGGCTTGGCTGTCTTGGAACTAGCTTTGTAGACCAGGCTGACCTCGAACTCACAGAGCTCCACCTGCCTCTGCCTCCCGAGTGCTGGGATTAAAGGCGTGCGCCATTACTTCCCAGCCAACCAATCAGTAAGTTTGATGTCTATGTATCCTCCATAGAAATTCACTGAGGACAGAACTTTTTTTTTTTTTTTTTTTTTTTTTTTTTTACAAAGTACCTAAAACATAGTAAGAGTGCAACAATGTTTTTTCAATGAATTAACAAGTATTATAGTATAACTTCAGGTATGGTAGAAAATTTTAAATGTTTATTTGCTTGTGTGTGTGTGTGTGTGTGTGTGTATGTGCGTGCGTGCATGCATGTGTGCATGTGTGTGTGTGTGTGTGTGTGTGTTTCACTTTCTCCTTATTCAGTCCAAGGCTCCAGCCCATGGATTGATGCCACCCACATTCTGGATGGGTCTTCCCCCCTCATTTAAAACCTCTGGAAATGTTCTCCCAGACACCCCAGAGGTATGTCTTTCTGTGGTTCTAAACCCAGTCACATTGAGTCAAGGTTGCCATCACAGACAGCTCTTACCTTTTCTGAAACACAAAAGGTGAGGGCATTTCCTAGGTAGGTGAGGGAAGTCAAGAGAAGGCTTGCAGTGAGTATAGAAGTCTGAGACCATCAAACAGAAGGAAGACTTGGCCAATTAGGAGGACGGAAATTCCTGGCCGAGATTAAAGTCTAATGAGACAGGAGTCCCCCACATGGCTCTTGAGTGGCCTCATCCCACTGGTGTGGTGAGCTGCAGGGAAGGCAGATCATTAAGTTCATTCCAGTTTGCAGTTTCCTCAGCAGGATGCATGGGATAGGAATTAAGAGCAGTGAGAAGGATAATTAAAAGTTGGTCCTGAATTCTAAGCTTCAAAAGGAAGGAACTGATGAGAGACGGGGCCTGTTCAATAGTGAGGAAATGTGATGGAGAAGTGGGACGCTGAATATTTGTAAAAAGAGGAAACTGAACCTAAATTCAGGACGATCATCTAGCTGTGTTGGTCTTCAAGTGTTTGCTGGTGAAATGTGAGCATCAACTAAGTTTTTCAGGGTTCTTTCTAGGTATTTTTTTTGTCCCCTGAGCATCAACTAAGTTTTTCAGGGTTCTTTCTAGGTATTTTTTTTTTTTGTCCCCTTGTTAACAGTTTTAGATTATGTTTAACTTCTTCTTTAACATTTTTTTTTCATTGTATATGTGCATGGTTCTGTTACACATGGACCTTTTCTTACAAGAAAAATATTGTACATTGAATATATTCCTTCTTATTTCCCTCTATCTTTTCTTTTCTCCCTCTCCCTGCCATTAGCCCCCTTTCTCCCTAAACAACGTAGCTTCTGCTTTCACGTGTTTATAATATTTATATAAAATAGAGGAACCACACATGAGAGAAGGTATCGGGTATTTGTCTTTGTAAGACTGGCTTAATTTGCTTACTATGAGTATTTCCGGTTGCATCTGTTTTCCTGCAAACGTTATTTCTGGCTGAGAAAACTTTTTGTTGTGGGTGCTGGAGAGACGGCTCTGAGTTTATGAGCACTGCCTACTCTTTGCAGAGGACCCAGGTTCAGTTCCCAGCGTCCACAAGGTGGCTCACAACTGTCTATGTGACTCCAGTTCCAGGCATCCAACGCCCTCTTCTGGCCTTCTCCAGAACTGCGCTCACAGTGTACCGCTACAAACCGTGCAGGGAAAAAGTTACACACATAAAATAAAAACAAGTCTTTTAAAATGTCATTGTGTATACACGTCACACTTTCTTTATGTATCCTTCATTGTTATAGGCTCTTGAGGCGGTATCTCAGTGCAAGGCTGATTAGCCTGGCACTCTTGATCCACCCACCCCAGCCTGTGAAACGCTAGGATTACAAGCGTGCACCACTATTGTCGCTACATGACTGCACATGCGCTGTCCAGTAGCAAGAGGCTTAGTCATCCCTTACGTCCTACGTAATCCCTGAGCTGCATGATCACATAATCTATGCGCATGTGTGGTGTAGCTATGTAGGCGCAGATGCGCATGTGCGTGGGGGATCCATAGAAGCGGGTCACAGACTCCTCTGTCTTCTTCTGCTTCCTCCCTCTTCCACACATGTCTTCCAAGTAGTCCAAAGCACATTCTCTTCTGTCTCCTTCCCCTGGTAAACACTCATAGTGGGTTTTATTGTATCTCATGCCCCCCCAACCCCCGCATGGAAAGCAGTGCCGCTTAATGAATAACACAGCGCCACATCTATACGATTCTGTGCTGAGTTGTGGTAGTTGCTAGCACAGCGTCCAGGCTCTTTGTCTTTTCCTCACTATTTTTCCAGAACCTAGATCAATGCCAACACAGTATTTACTAGTTAATTTACTTGGCACTGTCTTAGGGTTACTGATGCTGGGATGAAACATCATGACCAAAAGCAAGCTGGGGAGGAAAGGGTTTGTTTGGCTTACATTTCCACATCACCGTTCATCATCAAAGGAAGTCAGGACAGGAACTCAAGCAGGGCAGGATCCTGGAGGCAGGAGCTGAAGCAGAGGCCATGGAGGGAGCTGTTTCATGTGCACATGCATGCACAATGTATGTGGAGGTCAGAGGTCAACTTCAGGTGCTGTTCCCCAGGAACTGTCCACCTTGTTTTTTTGAGACAAGTTCTCTCATTGGCCTGGAGCTGTCTTTGGTGTCCAGATCAGGTGTTTACATTGGAAGGCCATTTAGCTCTTCAGTGCTGGGATTACAAGACCACACACTACCATGCTTGGCTTTTTCTTTCCCCTTTTTATACTTTATTTTATTATTATTTTTTTTGAGGCAGGGTCTCACCGTGTAGCCCTGGCTGTCCAGCAACTCTATATGTAGACCAGGCTGGCCTCAAATTCACAGAAATCTGTCAGCCTCTGGCTCCCAAGTGCTTAGATTAAAGGCGTGTACCACCACATCTGGCTCCTGGCTTTAAAAATTAAGTTTTCAATAGCACATACCAAGTATATTTAATAATGGATTTCATTACAACATTTCCATAAATGTATGTAATACATTTTGGTCATGTTCACTCCCATTACATGTCTCCTACTTTGATCCTCCTCTTCCCAAATAATTCCTTTTCTACTTTCCTGTCTCTTTAAAGTGGGGGGTTGCCCCCAAAGACTTTAGGGTTGCCCCAAAGACTTTCAGTAGGGTTGCTTACAGGACTGTCTGAGGGTTTCCATTGTTGTGAAGAGACGCTATCACCATGGCAACTCTTATAAATGAAACATTTAATTGAGGTGGTGGCTTACAGTTTCAGAGGTTCAGTCTATTATCATCATAATAGGGAGCATGGCGGCATGCAGGCAGACATGGAGCTGGAGAAGGAGCTGCTACATGTTGATGTGAAGGCAACAGTAAATAGACTGTCTCACTGGGTGTGACTTGAGCATATATAAGAGCTGAAACCCACCTTCACAGTGACACACTTCCTCCACAAGGCCACACCTACTCCAACAAGGCCACACCTCCTCTATAAGGCCACGCCTACTCCAACAAGGCCACACCTCCTCTATAAGGCCACGCCCACTCCAACAAGGCCACACCTCCTCCACAAGGCCACACCTACTCCAACAAGGCCACACTTGTAGACAGAAGTTTTCCTATGTCCTGAAGCTGCTCAGTCCCAAGTAAACACACAGAGGCTTATATGAATTACAAACTGTTTGGTCTATGGCTCAGGTTTCTCACTAGCTAGCTAGCTCTTTTATCTTAAATTAACCCATTTTTATTAATCTATGTTTTGCCACATGGCCGTGGCATTATGGGTTTGCTAACATGTTGCTCCTTGGCTGGCAGGCTGGCCTCTGCTCTGACTCCACCCTCTTTTCCCTGTATCTCTCTTGGATTTCCTGCCTGGCTCTTATCCTGCCTTACCATAGGCCCAAAACAGCTTCTTTATTAATCAATGGTAGCAACACATATTCACAGCATACAGAAAGACCATCCCACAGCACACACCTCCAATAGTGCCAATCCCTTTGGGAGGCCGTTTCCTTTCAAACCACCACGAGGAGTGTGGGTAAAGGGTTACTCACATGAACAAGGGCAACAGACTAGTGGCTACACTACTGAAGAATCTCTCTCTCTCTCTCTCTCTCTCTCTCTCTCTCTCTCTCTCTCTCTCTTCAGCAACTACTGTCTCCAGATCTTCAGGGAGCAGTGGGTCTCATGAGACCCTCCTCCACTATGATAGAATGTTGACAGATAAGATCTTGAGCAGGTAATCATAGCTCCTGTGAGTTCAAGAGTCCAACAGTCATGGCATGCCAAGAACACAGCATCCCATTCCTTCCTCTAGCGGTTACAATCCTTCTGCTCCCTCTCATACAGTGTCCCTTGAGCCTTGGAATGGGTAATATCCATGTCCCATTCAGGACAAAGCATTCAATAGTCATTATTTTGCCAGTTATCAATCCTGCAGTAACTGTTATCCACAGGAAAGAGAAGTTTCTCTGGCCAAAGTAGGACTAATCTATGGGCATCATTATCATCATCATCATCATTATTATTTTGGTTTTTTTCAAAACAGGGTTTCTCTGTGTAACAGTCCTGGCTGTCCTGAAACTCATTCTGTAGACCAGGCTGGCCTCGAACTCATAGAGATCCACCTGCCTCTGCCTCCCAAGTGCTGGGATTAAAGGCGTGTGCCACCATCACCTGAAAACGTCATTATTATTGTGTTCACAGGTACATGTATGTGTGTGTGTGTGTGTGTGTGTGTGTGTGTGTGTGTGTGTTGTCTGTCTCTCTGCCTCTCTGGGCATGTGGGCATCAAAAGACAACTAAAGACAGTCGATTCTCTCCTTCCACCATGTGGGTCTTGGGGATTGAAGACATGTCCTCAGGCTTGGCAGCAGGTACCTTAACCAAATGACTCATCCCTCCAGCCGCAACAATTATTTAGAAAATAATTTGATGGGCATGTCACGTCCATTTAGCAAAACAACAGCACTAGAGGATCCCCAGCCATGGACTTTTGGTCAGGTTTGTCACACCAGATTTGAATTCTATCCTGTGGAGTAGGCATTAAACCAATCAGGAAGGTGTAGCTGGAGTTTTCTCCAGTCCTGCCCAGCCCCACGGATCCCACAACCATTTATAAAACAATCACTCTGAAGCTCATATTAGTTAAACTGCTCAGCCATTATCTCAGGCCTACATTGTCTACCTCTTACACTTAAACTCAGCCCATTCCTGTTACTCCGTATGTCGCCACGTGTTCCATGGCTTTACCTGTTGCCTTCACATGTTGCTCCCTGGATGGCAAGCTCGTGTCTCCTCCTACAGGCTTCCACCTCCCAGCCTCTCTTCTCTGTTTGTCCCACCTACACTATCCTTCCTGCCTGGCTACTGGCCAGTCAGTGTTTTATTTATTAATCAAACATAGCAACATATATTCACAACATACAGGACATCCCACAGCAGGAAGGGACTGGTTTGCCCCTATTGGACCAGTTCCCACATCTTGCCTTGCAGTTTGGTAGCTCAGTATTCAGGGTCCACAGCTGTCTAAGCTGTCTATTCATCACAGTCCTCCTCCAGCAGACTGCACAGATCCTTCTGGTACCATCAGGGTCAGCCAGCAGGGAAGAAGCATTCAACTCAATTTCAGCTTGATTTTTCCAAGTCCTGTGACCATAGCTTGTGGTGTCTTTAACAACAGAGTCTTGTCATGTACTTTTGTGGCAATTGCTTGTATATTTTTGGTAATCCAAGGGTCTCCCTGACCAGTAACCTATGGGGAGGTAGCCCATCCTTGCCATTGGCAACTGGCTTTTTATGTGGATTCTTTTTTGTTTGTTTGTTTGTTTTTTGTTTTTGAGACAGGGTTTCTCTGTGTAGCTTTGCACCTTTCCTGGAACTCACTCTGTAGACCAGGTTGGCCTCAAACTCACAGAGATCCACCTGCCTCTGCCTCCCGAGTGCTGGGATTAAAGGTGTGCGCCACTACCGCCCGGCCTTTTATGTGGATTCTTGGCCTCTTACCAGCTGAGCTATCTCTCTACTCGTATATGCAAGACATCTTAATCTATCTACTAGCAACAAAAACCCCATGTTCTTCATCTGGGATTTGAGTTATAGATGATTGAGGAGGCAGAAGGCCTTTGGATTAGACCAATTGTTCTGAAGTGTGGATGTACATTGAAACAACGTGGGCAGCTTTATAAACTACTAATCCGGAGTCCCCTTTGGCAGAGACTAGGATTTAGTTGGCCTGGGATAGCATCCAACTCCTGTTTCCAAGGCGGCACAGGGAGAGTTCAAGGTGCAGTCAAGGTTAATGGCCATTAGAGTCGACGAAAACACACTTTTATTATTATTGTTGTTGTTGTTTTTCTGTATTAGCTGTGGAGAAAGGACCTTGAAGCTGAGGAAGCAATCAGGCCCTGATTTCAATGGACCTGCTCCTGCTTTTCCCAGGCTGTGTCTTCCTCCCAAGGTAGAAAGAGATGAGGAGAGTCTGTGAGGGAGACCCAGGGGACATTCCACATAAAAGCCCTCCTCTAGAACTATGTACCCAAGAACTTCAGTCATATGATCAAAGACCCTTGGGCTGTCTCCCTCTGCCCAAGTCTATACCTCAAGGACAAAGGACAAACTGCATTTCATGCGTAAGTTTAAGGGATGCGTGTTTCTGGGGGTCATGGATGGAGAGCGACTTACAGTCTATGTCTGTGGACTGCTGGAGACAGAGATGAGCGTGGTACAGCGGACAGGGAGTTCAATGTCTGGCTTGTTCATTCGTCAAAGGGGAAGGCACTTCTGCCTGTTATTTTGAACATGACATTGAGCTCCGATGGCTTGATTATTTAGCCTGTCTGCCCTTCAGGTTCTTCTTAGCAAACCGAAAATAATGGTGCTTTGTGAGCATGACATGAGATAATTGTATAGAAAGCGCACATTAATATGTCCAAGACGTAATAGCTATGGTTGATCATACACTTGCCTTCAAATGGTCCCCATCTAACAAAAAGGAGCTTTGTAGGTCCCGGGAGGGGATGTGTCCATGAGCCGCTCCCCTGGGGCTCGCGCCCGCACTGGGAGGAAACAGCACTATTTTTAACTTCAGTATTAGGCACGGAGGCAGTGTCTAGCCTTTGTGTCTCGCTTCTTTCATGTGGCACTATATTTTCTTCCCAAGCATTTTGTTATATATATATTTTGAATAAAAGAAGGGAGACCAGGGTGCCTAAGCGTTGACTTCGTGTTCGGAAAGGACTCGCCCGCGGTGCAGTGGAACAGCAGAATGGAATTAGGTCACTCCCAGCCCAGAGAAGCGGTATGAAACCAAGATGCTGTAGCTTCCCTCAGGCTTCGCCTCCGTCTGTGTCAGCGACTCCCTCCGTGCCTGTGACGTTGCTGAGCCAGCTGGTGGGCATCAGGCTCCGATGATTCTGCGTCTCTGACCTTGACCACCTCTCTCGGTCAAATTCTGTAGTCTGTTCCCTTACGGCTCCATCAAGGAAGGCAGCAGGCCGGCCCTTAAGAGGAAACGGCAGAGCTTTCATGGGTACAGAAACTGGGGGAACGGGGCCAAAAGAAGCAGGGCTACGGAAACATATAACGAATTCGAGCCTTGGAAGAGGTAGAAATTGTTCAAAAGCAGAGTGTGTCCTTTTGGTTTCTAAATCTATCCCCACCACGTGCCTGCAATTTTCCTGGGCTGTGCTTTGAAATTAATCATGTTTTTGCGTAATCAGATACTCTGCTAGAGAAAT